AGCAGGAATATAAACACGGATTCTTGAGAATTTTATTGAGAGATATATATATGTATGTACTTGGTTTCATGGACATGAGCATCTTCCTTTGCGTACCTTTTATCTTTGCACCACAAGTGCAACCCGTGACAGTCCAGATATCCATAATTTTGAGCAACTCCAGCTTATAGTGACAAGCATGTTAAGAAGACAATAGCTATAACACTGTCAAAACTACTTAACATAGTTATGAGCTATGTATTTGCAGTATATGCATCCACACCCTTCAATTCAAGGTTCCTGTTGCTACGTCTGTACTCATAAATTGGAGAGGCTCCACTCTAAATTTATCAATGAAGTTGTCGTGGTTTAACCCCAGCCATCAACTAACCAGCATGCGGTTGCTCACTCACTTCTTCCCCCTCATGGTGGGAGGGAAAGCTAAAATTCATAGGTTAAAATAAGAACAGTTTAATAACTAAAAATATAAAAATGACAATAATGATAAAATTATAATAGTAATAATAGCTATGAAAGGGAATAGAACAAAGAGAGAAAGAAAACCCAAAACCAGACAGGTGGTGCACAATGCCATTTTTCACCACCCACTGACCGAGCAGCAATCCATCCACCCCAGCCAGCTTCCCCCAGTTCATACACTGGGCACAGTACCCCATGGTGTAGCATGTCCCCATAGCTGTTCTGGCTGTGCTTCCTCCCAGCTTCCTGTACACCTGCCTGCTGACAGAGCATGGGAAACGGAAAAATCGCTAACTTAGGATAAGTGCTTCTTAGCAACAACTGAAACATCAGCACGTTATCAACATTTTTGTCATGTTTAATCCAGAACACAGCACTGCACCAGCTACTAGGAATAAAGTTAACTCTACCCCAGCCAAAATCAGGATGTAAATGTTATACCAAATAATGGTACAGTGAAGGTAGCAGTGGGCACCACTTGCACTTATACTGTAAGTTTGGAGAACGTCAGAGGACATGCTTTCTGTGAATGGTTAAGTATTTCATTATGTCTGTGAAAATCTTGTTCTTGGAGAAGCCATGGTGATGAAATGGTTCTTTGGATGTATGTGTGCGAATAGATGCACCAAATTTTCTAGAAATTATTCTTTATATCTACTCGTTCAATATATACATACAAATAACATACCATAATTACGTAGTAATTTTCCGAGTTGAACTAAAGGATGAACCTAACAGCTGAATTTGTAAAGTAGTGCATTTTTGCCTTCAAAGATTGTCCAATTCTATGGCACTTTTATTCTATATATTATGACAAATACTGTGGAATGTTTTAAATGCTTTCTCTGTGTCTGTGCATGTATGAGTATTTACATACAGTATGAGAAAAATTAGTTAATCATTTAAATAGGCTTTTTGAGAAATAATAAATATTTACCGTGGTTTCACTGACTTTATTACTAATATTTTGCTACACTGGAAAAGTACATTTCAATGTCAAATGCAGAACTAGGCTTAGAGAGAGCTGTCAACTCCTAGTCGAAATATGATGAATGCTTAAGTGTGTGTGAGAGAGATGTATGGAGTTTCTACATGTAATTTAGAGAACCCTTTGAACTACAGGTACAATGTAGTGCATGACACATGTTAGGATTCATAGTGTCTACCCTCAGACATACTGAGCTTTGTTCAGGTAAGTAATCTTCATTAACTTCCACTCATTTGGAGGAGTAGACATATCCAAACAAATCTGAAAAGCAGCAAATTAGAAGGAAAATAACAAGTGGAAACTTAAAAGATACTTGGGCAGTTAATTTAGGAGGACTTTTATTGTGGGAGCATATGCCTTAAAATAACAATCACTAGTGAGTTTGAAAAGAATCTGTTTCTGGTCAAGGCTTGATAGTTTGTGGTTACACAAGGACAGAAAGATTTTTTTTATTTAATGGATTGTAACTGCTTAATTTGAGAATACTGCAACTTCGGGACGTCTGATGTGAACCTGGTCTTACATGTGTTGTACTGCAGTAAATGGACTGGTTGCAGTCAGTTGGATTACAACATCAAAGTCACTGTTGCAACACGCTTGAACCACTAGCGGTTAATGGAAAAATTAAGTTAACAGTGTGAAATTGAAGTTGGTACTGTGTGTTTAAATTACTCTGCTTTGGCTTTCAGCTTTTATCTGTCACGATAGTGGAGCAACTGTGCTAGCATATGCTCCAAAACATCAGCTGTTAATATCTGGAGGCAGAAAAGGCTTTACATGTATAATTGATCTTCGCCAAAAACAGCAGCAACAATTACTCCAGAGTCATGATTCTCCAGTCAAAGCAATTGCTGTTGATCCTACAGAAGAGTACTTCGTCACAGGGTCTGCTGAAGGCAACATAAAGGTATGGGTGAGAGGGAGGGAGGAGCGGAGAAGTTGGTGGTGGTGTGCAAACTCAAAAATAATGTTGCATAGGTGTGGAATAATGGGCTAGTGTTAAACATTCTGCATTCCCAACCCTAACTTCCACATTTAGTAATTTAATTACAAAATGTTAGTCTTAGCTGGCAGTCCTGCTTTTAGTTAGTGTTACCTTAGTCCCTGAATATATTCTTCATTATAGGAAATTAATATTAATATTCAATAAGTGTATCATTACAGACTGCTACATATCTTTTCTTTCACAGTTAGTGTCAGAAGTAGTCCGGTTTCTCCATGACTCACTCCTGGTGAATGTTAAGATACCAGCAGTTATAAGAGACTGACAGTTTTGATGCTTTTTCAGGTATGGAGTCTGTCTACGTTCAGTCTTCTTCACACTTTCATCAATGAACATGCTCGACAGTCTCTTTTCAGAAACATTGGGACAGGAGTCATGCAAATTGAGACAGGACCAGCAAATCATATATTCTCCTGTGGTGCGGATGGAACAGTAAAAATGAGAATCTTGCCGGATAGATTTAGCCCTCTAAATGATGTGTTAAAAAATGATGTGAAATTTCTGATCTAATATTTTTTTCTTAGAGCAGTGTATAACGTTCCCCTTCTGCCATCCCTGAACATGATGTTTGTTTCTGGAAGTAGCCAACAAAGCAGATACATAATGATCATAATGATAACTTGTGCCACAAAGATGCTTTTTATTTTTATTTTTTTTTTAAATCCTTTTTTTGCCCCGGTATTTATTACCTGGAGCTTGTAGTCCCTGATGCACTGATGCCTTAAAGATTAATAAGATCCTTCAGATTTTGATCATTGCCTAAAAAAAAACTATACACGACTGAATTATATACTTAGAATACTATTGAGATGTTGCTGAAATGTTTTACTCTTCCTTTTAAGGTAGTTACATTCCCGCCTGGAGCGTACCAATCTGGGCATGGCCTCTACTTACAATCAACACCTGCCTGCCTTCTAAAAGTAGGTCCATCCAGATGGAAATGTTAGATAATGTTACACTTTCACTGTGGCAACCATAACGGTCTCTCTTTTCAACTTCAGTCAGCCAACAATAAAATTCATAGAATTTTAAATTCATAATACATAAAATATATGTAGAAGAGAATACATAAAATTCATGTAGAAGAGAAACGAAGGCTGTATGAGGCTGTGGCCATGCAGGCATTCATCTAGCAAGCCACTGTCTTTCTCCATTCCTGGAATCCAGGCTGTTTACCTCTCCAACTTGCCTGATCTCCTTCCTCTGATCTAGGTTATAAGAAACTGAAGGATGTTCTATAACTTGTCTTCTGTTCTATAGCTTGATCACTGCCATCAGGATGGCAGGCTTACCCTTTAAAAAGAAATGTATTTTTAACCCTTAACACTCCCTTTACAAAACTGTGTAAATATCAGTGGATATCTTCCTAATAAAATAGTCGAGATTGTCTGATGCATTAGTCTCGATCAAAAAGATACAGGAAGATACTACTTTAGGATATGGCACTAGAATGTCTTCAAAGACTATTTATTTACGTGTCTGTAGAAGGGGGGGAAAAAAAAAGCTAACCTAATTTATTTTTTCCAGTAAGACTTTTGTTTAGCCCACAGATACTCCATTCATTCTTAGCACTTACATTCTTGTTTGTTGGCTTTTCCTAAGTACTTTAAAAAAGGAAAAAGGAAAGAAGTTAAATAGCTAAGTACTTTAATACTGTCGGTCTTTGTACTGTATGTTTACATCTGGTGTAAAATGAAAGAAAAGAATTTTGAAATGGATAGATGGATTTTTTTTGCCAAAATATTAAACCACGTAGCTTCAATGTTTGACCAAATTACTAATGCGCAATGCCTTTACATTAATTTTCTTTTTTTTTGTCAGCTAAAATCTATTTCTGTAAGTATTTTGGTTTACTTTTCCTGACTTGAGAGCTTGACAAAGGTTTAATTTGTAAATTAGAAGTGAGGCTGGATTACTTGAATGCCAATGGTGTACTTTTTGCTAAAAGATATTTTGTGAAATATAGCACCAAGACATGAACTGTAAAATAAACTTGTCAAATTAGGAACTATGGGGATAAATAAAGCATAGCAGAAATGAAGGGCTTGTAAAATGAACTTTGTAACATTCTCAGGATGCTTTTATCTTAAGAATATATAATTGTTTTAAAAGATTTTGTAAAATGTTTTAAGGTCATTTTAAATGTATGTTTCGCAAGTTGCAGTGCAAACACTATGAAGGTTTTTATGCACATAACCTGAATTTTCAAATTGTGCAATAAAAAGAATGTGAATATTTTGCCATGAAGAAACATGTGAGAGCATTTGAAACAGGTACAGCTGTTCAGTGATTCAACTGTCATTTTCTTCCACAACACTTATAGATTGAAAGGAAAATTGGTACCAAAACAGTTTAAGTACAGTGATGGACCAGAAAAGCGACTGGCTGAAAGTGACACCACCTTACAAAAGAGACTTGCCCAATGCCTATCTGCTCAGTGGCTGAGTTTCTAATATTCCGTATTCTTATGAAAGAAGGAAAACAAAGTAGTTAACAGTAGCACACTCCTTGAGAATGGAAAGAAACCCTGACTTTGTAGCTGCTTATATACGTGCATTAGTTTTGTGCACCCACTGAACTAACAAAGTTACATTCAGAAAAGGAAAATGTGCAAAATCATGGCAACATTATATAATTATGTCCTTGATGTTTTGTCCTTAAGTATTTATGTCTCATTAGCTTTAATATTTCAAGCTCAGTTTATTGTACGGGCAATCATAAAAAGCTGTCTTTATCTGTGAACTGAGCAGATTTTATATGTAATTTGCCAAGACAATTTTTTCTGAGTAGAGCTGCACTATCACTAATCCTTGCAAATTTACGCTTATACCAGAAAAATACTGACTGTGTGAGCAGGCATTTTCAATAATGTTTATAGTTACCATAAGCTACTCTTGAAACTAAATTATGTAAAATCACAATGTATTTGCCACACCTTCATAATCTTCCCAATAAATCCTGTGGAAACTCAACCTTCTAGAATTCCATGTTGCTGCTACTTCATTTACAGATCAGCTGGTGGTATAATGTTCATTGATGTTCAACAGTTATTCTAAGTCTAATTATTGTTAGCTTTCTTGTAATGATGGAATCAAAATGAGTTAACTTTTGTTGTATCTGAAATTCTTAAAGGGACACTCTCAACTTTAAACCTAATCATGGAGGAAGCATTGAATCCAAAACTTCCAGCTGTTGCCCTTAGCTTCCATTGTCTTTTGTCCTCTAGCAGTTGATGCTTTCTCCTTGTCACTATGCAAGTTACTCAAACTGAAGGGTAATATTAACTACACTTGGTTCTGTGCTTGAAGTAGCCATGTGCACAAATGAAACTTCAAATTTGCATTTACCAGTGCTTAGTCAACAACAATTCCACATCCAGACAAAATAAGTTAGCTCGTAGTTGATAATGTCCCTTTTAAATATCATAGACTAGCAGCTGTGACCTGTGTTTCTCTATGTAGCAATACCCAATGTGATCAAGAGTGTGTCATGCTTGTGTTGCTGATTGATTCAGTTACCTCAAACAGATGTATGATCCGAGTTCTTGACTATTTCTTTAGTAACTTGTGAGAGTTAAAACTCTGGCCATCTGGGTACTTAAACTGACAATTCTCAGCTGACAGCTGATGTTGCAGGTTGCTTATAGAGAAGAGATGCAGATTTTGTACCACAGTGCTGTAGCTCAAGGTGAGCTTACACATGTTCTGTGTCTTAGGAAGCTCGCTACCAGTCACGGGAAATAAACTGCTGAGATATCCTGTGTTAGGTACCACTCCCTCTTAAGAACACCCAGTGTTAGATTAGTTGCGATAGGTATGAAAAAAAACAACAGTGATTAAAAGAAAATAAGCATTGAGACAGTATGTTCTCCAAGGTAATTTTCTTCAGATGTTTATTTTTACTAAAAAATAGGAAAACCACCTCTAGTGGCAGGTTCAGCACACTGATCAAACTACTTTCTATAAAATAAAGATATTGATTTACCAGTTTCTTGGTGTTCCTTATTCCTCCCCATTTCTTGCTTTAGAAGCTGCACGGTTTTGATCTTTCTCCTTTTCTGTCTTTTTAAAAAATGCCTCAGCTCTTCATGCTTTAGAGTTGGTTGTGTTAGCTTTTTGATGTTTTGGGTTATATTGCGTGTTTTGGTTTGTGTTTTTGTTGGCTTGGTTTTGTTTTTAATTCAGTGCATAACTGTCAGTTGCAGTCAGATTTAAGTCATTTTGCAGTGGAACGAGGCTGACGGGATCATAGAATCCTAGAATCCTTTAG